AATGTATAATTGAAGATATTAAAAATGTTGTCAAAATACAAGAACCTTGAAATAGAAATCTCAAAAATGTGGCATATGGGAACATCAACAATCCCTGTTGTAGTTGTAGGACTGGTTGGAAAATATTCCAGTAGACTAATTGAAGGGATTCCTGGAAGTCCATGCCTCAAAGAGATAAAAGAAATTGTTCTGACAAGTACAGCCCACACTTTACGAAGGGCTTTATCTATGTAATATATATATATATATATATATATATATATATATATATATATATATATATATATATATATATATTGTCAGTAGAAAGTGTCATGATGCCATTTCTAACCTTAGGTCCCTGGGCGGGACCCGGAAAGAAATGTGTAAACGCCAGAAACCAAAGAAAATAAAAAAATAATAATAATAAATGACCACATTCTAAATGAGTTATAGCTGTTCAGTCTTCTGATCCTGGAGTTTTTAACATGTACATGTTTCGTATTAGTGAATTAAGATGGACTACACTCTCGATTTCAGTCCCAGATTTGCTTGTCAGTTTCATAATTTTAATATGTTGGATTGACACCCTTGGCATCTCTAATCATGACGGTGAGCAGCCGGGCAGCAACATGAGCAGGTAACGAAAAGTAAACAAAGGGACTAGTGAGTCAAATGTAGAGAAAACTCTCAATCGGGAACCGCCTGAGCGGACTGGGTCACCCAACCTGAAGGCATTTCTCTCTGGCCTCCATAAGCAGGGGTATAGGCTGCTTTTATCAAAACCTCTCATCAATTCACGAAATCTTTGGCTAAGATGCATTTGCCTACTATACCCTTATCTTGATGGTTAAATTTATTTTAATAAATTTGGCTGTGTGTTGCATTGTCGCTACACAGTCTTCCTCAAATTTTTTCAGGTAAGAATAATATATCTCGAGAATCTCCTCTTTTTCAAAAGTAGATAAAATAAACTGAAAATTAACACTTAATAGCTGGCTACTCTCTTCTAGGGTGGCTAGTTAGTCCCGGTTGTAGACGCCTGTTCAGGCATATTTGTGTTTCTTCAATACCACACAGAGAGAGCACATAATCTGACGTGTTACAAATGTTACAGACAAATGATATTTACAGTGCTCGAGTTGGTTTGACACAAATCTACAAAGTTAGTGATTCATCAACTTCTTAATTTATATAACATTTCTTCTCAAGCCGTATATTTTTTTTATTGTTCTTACACTTGTCCCTTTACCATTCATATTTGTCGCTGTGATTTTATTCTCACCCTTCACTTACTCAAACTCCTAAAAAGTATTTTACTCACTGTCTGCGCCTACTTCTCTTGTTTTTCAATATGGCCTGTGTGTGTTTCATAGCTTTCTTTTCTCATAATTAAATTAATTACAACGTCCTCGTTTTTCAAATACACTGGTCTTGATATTGTCGACATTCTTCCAGAAGACCACGTGTCTATCGCATCGCAAAACAAGCATATTCATGGGTATTAAAAGCCGTCAAATTTTGTGGAAAACCATGATCTTCCACTACCAGAAATTGGTACACAGAACAGTAAATGAACTTCTATAATTCTTGGCAACACGTTTTCCACTTACATTAATCGAAGCGACCTATCGAGTCAGTCTTCTGCAAGGAAGCTTGGTTCGCAGCGCGTGGCAAAAAAATTTTCTCGTCAAAATCCATCATGCACATGTATAAATTTACCATTTGTCTGTGTATTGAATACTGTTGTTATATCTGGTCTCTGTGTACTGACTCGAGGTTCTTGACAGAATCCAGTGAACGATATGCAATACAATCGATCCTAATCAGATATCTCGTCACCAGTGACTTTCTCACCGACCTGACGTGGCCTCCCTCTGCCTGTCTTTCAAATGTTTTCACGGAAACTTCTCAGGCGAGTTTATTCTCCTGGGGTCCCAACTAGATGAATTTAACCCTGCTGCTAGAATGGCAACTAGGTTTAACCGTCTTACTGTTCAACTACGTAGATTAAACCGTCATTTATACATTTTTATCGCATTTTGCGCATGTGAAAATCACTTCCGATTTCTTGCCTCCCTGATAACTGCAATTTTCAATAATTTAAATGCAACATCAATGATCATTTTCTATCTTCTTGAAGTCTGTTCCTTTCTTGCCCTTTACTCGACCCTCTACATTTTCAAACGTCTCATTCAATTTCACTCCCTGTGACCTCCTGTGTTCTAGTGGCATTGTCACCTTACTTGGGGTGAAATGATTAGAAAAATACAGTAAAACATTTAAATCAGGAACATACCTACTTTGCTTAGTAAATATGTTTCTGTAGTATGGCATTTTGACTTACTAATCAATCAAAATTTATTTTGTACATAACTTGTTTACAAAATAAATCCTGATACATGCAAAATTATTTTATCTATAGTGGTTGTAAGTATACATAGTCTAAACTGAAACACACAAGATATATTTCTTATATAAAGATACGTAATTCAACATTAATGCCATTTTTTAATCCGACAGTATTTTATCTATAGTTGTTGTAAGTATACATAGTATAAACTGAAACACACAAGATATATTTCTTATATAAAGATACGTAATTCAAGATTAATCCCATTTTTAATCCAACAGTATTTCTTACTACTACAAACGTCATGTTTGTGCGCACACATTTTTTTTATGTAGGGTTATTTATAAATAGTGAGATTAAGGTCTATCGGCCTACGTAATCATAAATCCAAATAGGTAATTTTTTTTCATATAGCATTTTCAATTATCAAAGCCGGTAACTGACCTGAGAAGAAAGGGATTCCGACAGGTTTACTTGCCCAAGTCAAGCAACGTATAAATGAAGACCTCTTTAACTTTCAGCGCCAGATATTTGCATAGTTTTAACTTAGTCCCATTGTCAATTCTAAAAAGAGATTGAAGAAAATAAGGTTATCCGGATTTATTGTATTTAGCCAAAGACATTCAATTTTCAATTTTTTCTGATTTTTCTTTCGAACCGGAACGGCCAACCCTCCGCCCTCACCAAATAGTGGGCTTGGTAGGCATGCTTTCAATAAAATTGTAGAACAACAGGAGAAAGAAACGGCGAAAACAATTCCAAGTTCAGACAATATATCACGCAAGAAGAATCGGCCACTACATCATAAGAATACTGACGAGACACTTTCGCATCTCGCCAAAGACATTCAAATTTCCATTTTTTTTTATTTTTCTTTCGAACCGGGATTTCTAACTAAACCATCAAATAACTTAGAATGATTGGGACAAAATATGTTACTATGGTCGAACACACTGACGAGTAGGGGGAGAAAAAATAAAAATAAAAAAATTAAAAAAATAAATAAAAAAAGAATTAAAAAATTAGAAAAATGAAAATGAGTTTTCGGTAGAGCAAAATTATACTCACGGAGGACAGCAAGTGGTTGTCATTTAATGCCAGAAAACATTTAGATAGCAAGAGGTTTTTTTTTCATATAATAACGATTTCCTAATACAAGTCCTACTAATTAATCCATGGAGTGGGGTGAAGAGGTGGATTCATATCTTTTCCAAGGGTATTTACGTGTAAGTGAATATAAGAAAACCGACTGTAATTTGAACTTGGCTCTTTGGTTTCCAATTCTGAGCTCTTATCCATTGCACAACCCTTACAGCACCTGGTATCCCCAAGAAGTCTCTTAACTAGGCACTGACCAGGCTTGGAGTTGCTAAGTTTCTGTAATCTTATCAGAACCGGTGTTTCAATGTGATATGTCCATAAACCGGAAGGGGCTGGTCAGGAGTACATTTTCCAAGCAACACCACAACCACTGCTCGTCATGTGACTGATGATAATGATGATAATGATGGCGGCCGACAATTTCACAGCATGTAAATGAAGCGAGGTCACTATTCAAACTTCGAAAATGATTTTGAAGAAATAAAGAAGTTATGTATATACGGAAACGATGGCAAATATCGTAATATTTTATTTGGAAAACATCGAATTGCATAATAAAATAAGGCACCGTGTCCAATTATTACGTATGTCTTGGTAAAAAAGTTGTTTTTATTATAAGTAATATTAAAAATGCTAAACAAAATATTTTTGGACTCAGCAAGATGATAATCAAGGTTAATAGTTTTCATTGGTGCAACTATCATATTCATTTGCATATGACGTCAATTGTCTTAGCAGAATTTATTTTTCCGTTAAAATGAAATATTATGAAAGATACATACGTATTTTCACGACATTGTTTTCGACTTACATTATACTCATTCCTGTTTTGCTCGTGACATAAGTTTAAATTAAAATTGGTTATATTTAACTTAATCTCGTTTCATCTTATCTTATTTTATAAATAGTTTGAATTTGAATCATTTAAAAATATATGCGTTTACACATCTCTTGTCTTCTGTCTCTCTCTCTCTCTCTCTCTCTCCCCATATCCTCTCTACCTATCTCACTATTTTTTTAATTTCTTTATCGTTTTATCTATCAGTTCTCATCTTCACTCTCAAGTTGTACGAGCAAGATAATATACAAAAGAATTCCCAAATGGACAACTCGATTTACCCTCAACAGAAATAAATTCTGTCGCCTATGCGCATGTGCGTTTGTGTACGTCTGCTTTTTACTTTGAGGAAAGAAATCTTACTCTGTTTTATCTCACTCTTTAAATCGCTCTATTCCTCTTTCTCTTTTTCATATGTCTTTGTTTCTTTACTCAGTAAGAGATATTCAGAGACATTCATATATTTAAACGTGTGAACATATAGCCGAATACACTCCCAAAAAACAATACAAGAGAACTTTTTATTCTTTCTTTTTTTCTTCTACACTCTTCCTTTCTCCCTCTTTCTTTTTCTTTTCTGTTTTGTGTAAAAATATATCGAACAAAGCATTCATTCACATGCTCAAACCGAAAACGCTACTATGCACCCAATCATTCATCTATATTTGCATCGACTTACATAAGATCCAAGCCACATGACTGCATATGCACACCGTGTCAGATGGTTTACTACGTATACGCCGGATGTACAATCCCAGGAGTCTTCATGCGCAAGTGCACATGCCTACACTTCCGTCCTGTTCGAATGTGATAAAGAAACATAAGAAAGACAAAAATGAAGTTATCGGAAAGTGTAATTCGAGCCAGGTTTATTTTTCTCGGAAGGCGGCAAAAGAAAAGAAAAAAACGTGAAAATAGAAAGGGCCGATCCGAAAAAAAAAAATGAAAGCGAAAAAAAAATGAATAAGGGAATAAATAACTAACTGAAAAAAAAGAAATCTACGTGAAAAAAAGTGAAAAAGAATGTAAGATGGAGAAGATACGAAGCGGAAGGTCAGAAGAAAAACAGGAAAGGGAAAGGCGGAACAAGTGAAGATAAAAAAAATAAGAAAAGAAATGACGATGAAAAGCAAAGATAATAAAAGAAAAAGAGAAGATGAAGAAAAGTGAAAACGTCAAGGATTTATGAAGAAATTGGAAAATAAAGGAATGAAATGTAAAAAAAAAAAAAAAAATCGAAACAAAAGGAGATAAAAAATGAGAAAGAGGGAAAACAAAATGTAAAATGCTAAAAAGAAAAAGTCGTATATAAATTGAGGGAAAGAAGAAGAAATGTCATTAAATAAAAAAAAATGAAAATAAATGAATAGAAAGTGAAGTAAAAAGAACGGGTAAATCAAGGCATGCGAAGGAAAATGGACAAAAAGCGAAGGAAGAAATGTGTTATAGTCTATGAAGAATACCCGAGCAAAGAATTATGTGCAAATGGAGAAATGGAGATACTTTATTAAGAAACGTTGAGACAGGAATCTTGTCGCTGTGACATGACCCGCCTTGTGGATGTCTGATTTAGCAAAGCGAGAAGAGAAACAAATTAGCAGAGAAAAGACTAAAGGAAATGCCAAATAAAAATATATTTGAGCTACATTCTCTGATAGATAGATAGATAGATAGATAGATAGATAGATAGATTTTACATGTATAGGAATACACTGCCATGAAGTAAAAAAAACAAACTGTATCGCAATATCTTGTAAGCCTATATGGTAAATATATATCTCACTCCACTTTTGATATAATTATTAAAGATTTACAATGAAAATAAACATCTGTTAATTTCCAATAAGGGCACTGCAAAATAGAGATGATTTAGGTGATTCTAATTTTCCATAACTCTGAAACTAGGGGCACATCTGTTGCAACCATGCTGCAGTCTGACGGGGACCATCCCTCTCCAGTTTGGTTTGAATTCAGAGTTTTCCTTTTCCTAGACTGGTTGCCAACTAAGGTTATCAGGCTTATTCTCTCTTGATATTTACTGTTGGGGTAAAGAGATAGATTTATTTATAACTTTCTAAGGCATGTAAGTAAGTGTATTGAATTAGACTAGAATTCGAACTCAACTATCCGATACCTCAGTCCGAGCAGCTATCCATCACCCCACAGTGCTTCCACTCTTTTTTTATAGATACAAAGATACTCGAAATGTCAGACGATTTAGAAAATTTATTTTCACTCAAAAAAGGCTCATTTAAAAGATTATTTCTTTTCGTATTTAAATCTTACTTATACATTATGTGAAATAATAATAATAATAATAATAATAATAATAATAATAATAATAATAATCAGGACGGATGCTACAACTAGTTAACTGTCATAAGAAATTTCAAATAACATCAATCCGTGTTTGAAAAGTGCAGGGCTAAAAACAGAGACGGAAGCATTTATACTGGTTGCACAGGACCAAAGTCAATTTAACGGGAATTACCAGGTAAATGTAATAAGAAATCAGACCCAAGATATAATGTGAACAACATTATCAGACTATTGACCACTTAGTGCAGAAGTGGACAAACTACAATCTGCGAGACGCCGACCTGATGATTTTATATGGCCAGCAAGATAAGAACAAACATTATTCTTTAAATATTCATGCATAAATTTTCGTATTTTTGTCGTCACGTGTTTCAAAAAATAGTAATATATTCAAAACCAACATAAAAACAAAAAGGATTCAAACCCTATATATTTAATATCGAACCGATTTACCAGAAAATACACTTCCTAAGAAATTACCATCGCACAATATATACAAATGCAGGTCCCTGGAACGTTGTACAACACTGGCGATGTCAAAGCTCGATCATCGGCACAGTGTAAACCTGTGCGTATATAGGATGTCATTTTTGGGCTTTACTATAAAAGTTTTACGAGATTTATCGAGAATTTCTTATTGTAATATACTTTTCTCAAATATGAAATCTCATCGATAGTAGCTGCAATGGCGTAGCTAAGGAAGTGGGGCGAGGGGCCGGAACGCCCCGGGTGCCAGCACAGGAGGGGTGACACAATGTCACCCCCAACAAATTTTTTCAACCAGGCTAAGGTGCCAAAAATAGTTTGAAAACAGTGGTGGAGACACAGGGTTTCGCAGGCGGGCATATGACCCCCCAGAAATAATTTATGACCCCCCAGTTTTGTCCCCCCGTCAGAAATTTTCTAATAAATTGTTGGGAAATTTGTGAGTAGGAAAAATAGCAATGTTTTTAGCTTTAATGTGTTTCAGTTGCTATAATCTTGGTTACTAACAAGAGACATTGTTGTAACATTTTATCGGATGCTATGGTGTTTTAATTCTGCAACATTAATAACAACAAAGTGAAATACGAAGCCAAAAGTGCAACAATTTCAGTTTTGCCTGCGTATCAATTCGCTGAGATACAATTTTCCATTGAGTGAGCGATATACTTTTGAATATATCTACTAGTGTTGGGACGATTAATCGGCATCGGAATCGAGAATCGGAAAAATCGGAACTCTTTGGGGTATCAGAAACGGTATCGGAATTGGAAAAATTTGTGCCTATTTTCCGATTCCAAAAACGATTCTTTTAAATTTTTAACTTAATCTTCCATTATTGGTACTAATGATAAATATTTATTGTTTTTAAATTATCACTAAAACTAATATCATAATAACATCAAAATACGATGTAAATTTATTTTAATTGTATAAAGAAAAACAAAAAAATAAACTTTGCATAAATTCTCTAGGTAACCTTTAAATGAATGCAGTTGATTTTCAATGCTCAGAAAATGCTTAAAAATTAAATAGAACATTTTTGTCAAGAAAAATACTTTCAAACATCATTGATACTTAAATGGTACCCAGAAAATGATGCAACGGAAAATTGGACACCGGAAAATTAGCAACAGAAAATTACGTCAACCATGAGCCAGTCGAGATTGTCGGATCTGGCTGTGCTGTCCATTGAAAACGAGCTTACAAGACAAACAGATTTTGACGATGTCATTGACCAGTTTGCCACAATGAAAACAAGAAAACATTCATTCTAAGATCATAGTATCGAATGTCATTCTTTTGTGTATTGCCGTGTTTTGTATTTAGTTGTTCTGAAAGTGAACAGTTGCATTTAAATTTTTTTTTTTTGATTTCAACTGATTATTTTGTGGTATTGGATTTTGTCTTGGATCATACATGTAAACAGTAACGTACCGGTCAGTAGAGTAAAGTAGAGGTAGAGCATGTATGAAAATTTAGCTACAGCTAACCATTCAGCATAGGGTGAATCGGAGTCATTGGGGTTACATTTGAGCGGACCGCCCCGGGTGACGTTTACTCTAGCTACGCCACTGATTAGCTGATGTATTAAATATTAAATAATTTTTCAGACATTTGTTAAAACTGTTCACAAAATACGACTTCAATGCAAGTGAATGTACAAATGCTATGTGCATATATGATTATTATTTATATTGTCATTTCCAAATAAATGTGTTGTTATTGATATGGCCCACTTTAAACAATGTAAACATTGATGAAGTCCTCCATTAAAAATAGTTTGCTAATATTTTAGTTCTGTTTGCTCAATCTTGACACTTAAGTAATACAAAATGAATCTGATAAAACTGTTTAATATATTCACTGGCAAATATTTTCGTCGCACCGCGTTCCGCATGCCGAAAACTGTGTCTTCGTCACTCTAAAACGTTCACAGAATGCCATAAGGTCACTATTCTTTACGTCTTTATTATTCATAATGAGAGAGATATGAAATGAATAGAACAATCAAGGTGATTATAGACTATATAAAATTGTCTTCTTATAGATACAGCAATGTTATCAAATAAAAATATATCTGTTAAAGACTATGGCAAAATAAATAAATATGAGGACATTGAAACTGAAAAATGTTCTCCCTTAAAACTATTATATAATTGTCGTTATAATTATTGAATAACTGAGTTCGAGAAAAAATATAGACAAGAATATTAACAAAATAGCTAGCAGCTGTTTACAACAGATTAAAAAATACTATGCGAAACTGCTCACCTCCTCAGCAGAATATTATCAATGCAAATAAATTATGAGCTGTGTACGAGCATCCACTAAATATAAAACTCGGCATGACAGGGTGGAACAATATCTGCACTGGAAAATCTGCAACTGGAAGGGAACTGCCAGAAAGTGGTATGAACACAACGCAGACCCGTTTGTAGACGTAGGGCATGTAACCATTTTATGGAACATTACAATGCACACAGACAGAACAATCAAATTTAATGGATTAGACAGTAGTCAAAGACCACAAAAAAAGAATGTGTTTTCTTATTGACATTGTACTTCTTGCAAATTGTAATGTATCGGTGAAGATCTTTAAAAAAAACTATCAAAACACAAGGATCTTGAAATGGGAATAAAAAATATGTAACACATGAGGACATTAATAATTTCAGTTGTATTTGAACCCTCGGATTGATTGGAAAATATTCCGAAATACTCATCGAAGGGATTCCTGGTCGCCCATGCTTTAATGAAATATAAACAATCGTACTCACAAGTACAACTCACACATCACAAAGGGCTTTATCTATGTACATGTGTATTATCATAGGTTTTTTTGTTTGTTTGTTTTACAAATGATCAATGAAAAAATTCTGAATGCCATTCCTAGCTTTAGTTCTTTGGATAGGAACCTGAAGGAAGTGCGTATAAAACAGAAATCAAAGAAAATAATAATAATAATCTTAATAATAATCAAACTCGGAAAATTCACACAAAATATTAATAAAAAAACGAAGTTACGTCGAAATTCAAATATTAAAGAATATATTATTTTATCCAATGCCATATCAATACATGATAAATTACTCGTTTTTATTATCTGTTAATTTAGTTGACGTCTTGGGACAGACACTGGGATGGTTTCCCGTTGTCTCTTATAAAAACTACCACCATAGAATGGTCAGCCTATCATGATATAAAATCGATACTCTAAATCATTCTCGCTAAAATGAAAAAGATTAATTTCAGGTATTTAGATATTTCAAACAAGCAAACTTCTTCGACTTTTACAGGATTCAGAAGTGTGTTGGGCAAAAATCATAGAATTTCACTCACTGTGCTGTGAGACTGATAGACAGAAACAGAAAAAAATATCAGGTATCTAAAGTGGTTTCGAGTTTTTTTCTGTTTTAATTAAAAAATATATTTCCACTGGACACCCAAGCACAGGAAGCGAGTTATAAATCGGAGCCGTCAGAATCAAACAAGCACAGAAATTTAACTATCGAGGAAATTTTAACAGACGAGAGAAAATGTGATACGAATCCGTAGGCGTTTGCGAATAGCAATGATGGATTCCAAAAGCTAAACAAAGTAGTAAGAACCAGAAAAAAAAAATCACAAGAACAAAGAGTGCTGAATTTCTCTTTAATATTATTTCTTCTGTATGGGTGTTAATGGTGGACAGTTACTTCATAGATGAATAGGAGAATCGACGGAATAAAGAAGATAAAGATACTGAGAATATTATGGAGTAAATATGCGAGATTTAAAGAAAACAGAAGCCAAAACGACATTTTTATTGGAAATCAGTAAAGGAGAAGTGAAATTTACAGAACACTTAATAACGAAAGAAAGCTAGCAAAGTTTTTGTTTAAGGGTTTATCAACCCCTTATGTGATATTTAATGC